AGTGCCATTTATTAATTTTTAAACGGTATAACGATAGTTGTACACATCCCATCTTCTCTACAGCTGGGAGAACCCCCTTCGCAGCACGTGGCTGTCCTACGTACTGTGCCAAGACTAGGCAGACAGCACCTGCCCTGTACCAAGAACGGAGCATGTGAGATGACGTCATCCCATTCGACTCACACATCACGTGACCACCAGAGCACGTGACCCGTGCCTTCGCCGTGGGTAGGAAGATGACGCATGTCAGTTCAAAATATCATATTTCACACCATTCTCGGCAATTAAGTCGGCTGCCTGGGCTTAGGCCTCTTCTGAGTGTGGCACCACCAGTCTCTTAGAAGTTACCTGTCTCCAAAGCCGGCTTCACGCAGCTGCACGGGGTCGCTATGGGCCGAGGCCCCTGCTCCTCCAAGCCGGGCATGGCTCCCGGTTGCTGAGGGAATCTACCGGACCCGTCAAGACTTCCGCTTCCGCTCTCTATGCCTGGCGCCTGCGCAGTAGCCGCGCCGGCGGAGTACTGCGGCAGCCTAGGGGTCTCAGGTGGGGTGTTGAGCCCCTGTCTGGGCCCTGTTCGTGTCCGGGATCCAGATGGTAGTTGTCTCGGGCTGAGCCCCAGCGGTGGCCCGCCCTCTCAGGGAAGGCTGCAGCTCCGAGTTCCCGCGCTTTCCGAGGGGCCATCTGTCAACGAATAATTACGCGCAAAGATGTCCTTCTCGAAACGTTAATAATAAGCAACATACATGTCTAACAAATGACCCTGATTTTTAAAGAAAAAGGATGTGTATGTTAATTACCACAGAGCGGAAGGATCTGACGTTAAGAAATGTTAAGAATTCTCCTTTGGCGGGACGCAGTGGCTCACGCCTGTAATCCTAGACTTTGGGAGGATCGCTTGAGCCCAGGAGTTTGAGGTTGCAGTGAGCTATGATGATGCCACTGCACTCCAGTCCCGGCAAGTGAGCAAGACCCTGTCTCAAAACAAAAAGAAAGAAAAAATTCTTCTTGGGTGGTGGGAATGCAGAGGTGATTATACTCTGTATGCTGCGATTTTTTCATAATAACAATGTTTTGTTAGAAACTCCAAGTAAACTTATTTCAAATGTGATGGATGTTATAAGGTAGGCCACACTGCGCTAGGCTTAAGTAATGACTATTTCTTGTGCTCAATACTTCACTGTCACTAAAGTAAATGAAATTATGAGCGTCAATATGCCACGTACGTTGAGAGGATTATTGTCGTTTATGGGCAGCTCTGAAAAGTTCAGGACCAGCAGGAATTATTTTCATCCCATGCAATGACCAGTTCTCCCCGCACTAATAACCTATCCTTTAACCACTTGTAATGACATCTCTCACCTACATAAGCTTTGTCTGTACACATAATTCCGTTTCTGCGCTTTTTATCCTGTTGGTTCAGAAAAAAAATTTTATTACCTGCAATATAAAATATTAAAAGCATACAAGTCCATCGATTAAGAAGCCTAACAACCATGAGAAGCTGTTTCTGTCATTTTCCATCGATTGCTAGCAGAAGATAACCAGCAGCAAGAGCCAAAGATTTAAAAGGAGGATTGTGGTTTTAAAAAAATTAAAATTGATCAAATTCACAGTGTCTTCTGGAAGGTCTTTTCAACATAACAATTTGGAAAAGTCTGCCATTATTCTGAATTTAGGAGGAACAGTTATGTCCAGCTGTTAAACGAGTTTGAGAGCCATCGAACTATGTATATATTAATATATATAATATATGTATGTGTGTTGTAAAACTGAGCCGAAATAATTGCACTTGCCACTAGATGGTGGTATTGCTGAAATTGATAGTCTTGCTTTAATTTGCAGAAAGATTAGTGTTGAAAGAGTTGAGGGCTGATAGATGTTTGATAATCACACAAAAAATACATAATTACTGAGTGTGACAAGTACTGAAATGCAAAGATGACTTGAAGACACTAGTGAAGTATATTGCTACCTCTTTGAATGGTAAAATTTCTCTTTACTGAAAACAGAAACTGTGGTACTTTTATTCTATGATTTCAAGTTTTTATCATCCTGTTTAGAGTTATATTATTGTGCTGATTATAAACTAGAAATAAGTTATTCTGATTATTTCTAGTTTCTATTACAACCACTGTACCTCCCATGAAAGGAGGGCAGCACAGAGCAGGGCTGGATGGATTCTTCCAAAACTAATTCTGACTATGATCTCAAGTTTCAAAGCCAAGAAGAAAACCGGAAAAATTCTAGATGCACACTGGTATTTCAACAAGAATGGTGAGATAGCAGAGGTTGCATGTGTGTGTAAGGAGTGGTGTAAGAGGGCAGGCAGAAGGGGTCCTAACAGGTAAAGAGGGAAGTTTCTGCTTCCTCTAACTTACTGTATTCCTCTTTCCATCTACCTTTCTATCTCTTTCACCTTTGTGACCCTTTACATCTCTTAAGGTTCATCTTAATGAAACACTATTAGAACTGGAGACTTGTTTACTCTTTCTCTAATCTTGACCCACTCTGGTAGGTGAAATTTAGATAGAAACAACGTTCTAAAGATGGAGCATCATAGTGAAAGGCACTGAGGAAGTTAGATGTGACTTTGGCCAAGTACCCAGCTTCTGGTTATTTCCTCATCTGTAAGTAAAATGGGAGTGATAATCACGGCCCAGCCTATTTCACAATTTTTTGTGGATTAAATACTGAATTGTATATAAATCTAGATGTAAGGAACTATTATGTAGTTATGCTTCCCTCAATATGTTACTTAAGTAATAAATATAACGGGGTATGAGTCATTGTACAATGAATATATTCTGAGGGGAGAAAATTTAATGTACCCCCAAAAGGGGGTAGCAAATAGGAGGGAAACAGCATTGTAACTTCCTGCTATACCAGGGGTTCTCAACCCTAGCTGCACATTAGAACTGTCTAAATAGCTTTTAAAATAAAAACACCCTAAATTCAATGCCGTATCCTGGATTGTGTCCTGAAGCATAAAAAGGACATTAGTGAAAAAATTAATGAAAACCAAATATCTATAGTTTAGTTAAGGGTAATGTAACTATCTTCATTTCTTAGTTTTGACGAATGGACCATGTTAACATTAATGTTAAGATGTTAGGCCAAGCAAGGTGGCTCATGCCTGTAATTCTAGCACTTTTGGAGGCCAAGGCAGGAGGATCGCTTGAGGCCAGAAGTTTGAGACCAGCCTGAGAATGAGACCCCATCTCTACAAAACATAGAAAAATTAGCTGGAGTAGTGGTGCATGCCGATAATCTCAGCTACTCAGGAGGCTGAGGCAGGAGGATCAGTTGAGCCCAGGAGTTTGAGGCTGCAGTGGACTATGATACCACTGCACTCTAGCCCAGGCAATAGAGGGAAACCCTGTCTCAAAAAAAAAATGTTGTTAATGTTAAGATGTTAACATTAGGGTAAACTTGACAGAAGGTATACAGGAACTTCTGTACTATTATAACTTTCCTACAATCCCAAAAATGCTTCTCCAAAAAAGATTTAAAGCATAAAACAATTAAAAATAAATATACCTATGCCTGGACATTGCCCTAGAGAGGTGAATCAGAATCCCAGGAGGAGGAGTCTGGGCATCTGTATGTTTCCAATCTTCTCCAGTTAGTCTAATATACCAGGAGGGTTGAGAGAACCACCGCTCTATACCATGAATGTCCAAGGGACTGGAATCCTGTCTTGCTTTTAATGTAGCCTAGTACCTAGCACAAAGGAGTGCTTGTGCAATTGTATCCTTGCTGAATGAACCTTTTAGTCCTCTGTAATAACAGAAAGAAAACTAAAAAGAAACAAAAAAAATACCAGGGGAGATTTTCAGACATCTTCCCATCCATCCAGAATAGTTCCTATTCCTGCCCTTGGTCTCTTTGTCATTTTCTGTTAATCCTGACCATTATTACCATATTTATCATATTCCTAAAATACTAAAACTGCCACTCCACTGTTCAAAAATCTTACTTAGTTCCTATTACCTAACAAGTGACGTAATTCTTAGTTAGGTATGCAGAATTCTCTACACTCTGTCTAATAATACAAGCTCTTCAGTATGCCTGCTGTTCCATATGTACCCCACATTTACTACAGTTTGCATGCAGTTCTCCTGAACATGTCTTTAACTCACCCTTCTCTGTGTCATACACAACATTGCTGCTGTCTTTATCTATACAAATCCTCTCCATCTTTCAAGTCCCCACCCATGTGTAATTTTTTCGGGTCACTCCAGCAAAAAGTGAGCATTCTCTCTATTGTGTCTACTATTGAAATAGCACTAGCATTTATAGTTTTCTTTTGCACTATTTTTTTTCTGTTTTATTCCCCCCGAGACTAAATTAAACTCCTGGTGGGCAAGAACTATGTGTTA